CCGCCGCCGCAGGCCCTGCCCCCCCCCCGGAGGTGCAGCGGGACGGGCCGCGGGGATTGACTCCCTCGGGTGGCGGCGTCTTCCGGCCAGCACGGCCCCCCCGGCCCCCGGTGCGGGCCCGGTCGGGGCCTCCGAGACAAAGCCCCGGCCTGGGCCCCGGCCGGCGTCTCTGCGGGCAGGGCGGTGGGTTCGCGAAGCTCCGCGTTCCCTCGTGCCTGAAGGCGGCCGTTTCTCTCCCTCAGGGTGGCGAATTCCATTCGAAGAGTGTTCATCGCTGAAGTCCCCATCATAGGTACCGCCTGTCCTGTCCCGTCGCTTACCCTCCAGTGCTGGCAGGAGGTCACCGTCCCTCGGGCTGCTCGCCCCGTTACTCCCATCGCTTCCCCTCCGTTTTGTCCTGCACCTCCAAGCTGCTTTCAGCTCCCTTTGCCCGTGTTTAGCCAGTGCTACGTATTACCAGACGCTGTCGCAGCTTCGCTGTAGACCCCGTAACGTTTTCTGCGCTCTCGCTAACTGCTCAGCTTTTCCCCACAGAAATATTTCTCAGCTCGTGACTTTTTCCTCTCTGCAGCCATCGACTGGGTCCAGATAGACGCCAACTCTTCCGTGCTCCATGATGAATTCATTGCACACAGGCTGGGTGAGTGCCGGGCATGGGGAGGAAGATGAAGATGTGCAGCAAGGCAGAGGTCGTGGGCGAAATCAGTCCGGAGACGCTGAAGCACCATTGTCAGGAGGCTGCAGTCCCTCTGCCCATCTCGGCAGGAGGGTTGGTGCTCCTGTGATCTCACTCAGATGTTCCCCCAATTTCCTTCTTCCCTCAGGTCTCATCCCGCTCACCAGTGATGACATTGTGGATAAGATGCAATATTCCAGAGTGAGTCAAGCAAAATGTCCCGGGTGCTTATTTTGATGGTGGTGGGTGTCTGATCTGATGGGAAGTGCTACTAATTTCTTCCTGGGAGAGGCTTGACATAAAGGTCTTGACCCATGTCTGTCCCAGGACTGCACATGTGATGAGTTCTGTCCGGAGTGCTCTGTGGAGTTCACCCTTGATGTCCGGTGCAATGAAGACCAGACCCGTCATGTCACATCCCGTGATCTCATCTCGAACAACCCTCGGGTCATACCGGTCAGTGCGATCTTCCCACTTGTCAGCAAGTCACCTCTCTACGTTTCTGTTGAGGCTGGGGTGGCGAACGTATGGGATGGGGACAAAACAAGGGCTGTGAGCACGTTTCACGTTGCCCAAAGCCCCACTTAAAATGTAGTGGGAGAGCAAAGCAGGAATATCAGCAGAAACAGCAGTGTGTGCCAGAGCCCTCCTCTTCTTCACCTTGTTGTCCTTCATTTGCTGTCTGATGGTGTGTCAAAGCAGTATGGCCTTGTTAAAACCTCATCCTGCACCCCTCATCTCAGACTCTTGGGAGGCTTTCGTGTTGCCCCTCCATCTCACCTTGAACACTTGGAGCGTGTGCACTTGTGTCCTGCTGCCATGTCACTGCCTTCCTTCTGCCTGCTTGCTGGTGGGGCTCTGGCAAGGTCAGCCTCTTAGAAGGCTTGGCAGCAACCCGGAGGCCTCTGGTTTTCTGGTTCTTGGCTCTCAGTGCGGCAAGGTGTGAGGAGCCTGGGCCAGGGCACTGCTGCCAAACAGCCCTTGCCCAGTCACCTTGGGGAGGGTTGGCAGCGCCAAAGCAGAACAGATGCAAAGGCACTTAATGGAGAATGTTTTAAAATGCTATTGAGGCCACACCTGGATGTCACCACAGCCTGGGGGCTGCTTCTGGTGGCTGGTGACAGCGTCTGCCTGGTTAAAGCCTAGCTGTAGCCCACTGTCTCTTGCTCCCTTCAGCTGAGGTGCTGTGAGTGCTTTGTGTCACCTGCCAGCAGTCGTGGGAGTGACTTTGGGCTGCGTCGCAGAACCACGCAGCAGCACTGGGCTGGGCTGGAGCGCTCTCCATCCTGTGGGGGAGAGCAGCTCGGGAGGCAAACAAGCTGGTGGAGTGGGATATCGCGTACCTAGCTGCAGCTGCCTGAATTGTCCCAATTTCGGTTAAATAGGGTGGGCTGGATTTGTTGCTGTAAGTCACGTTAGAGTGGCTCTGTGCAGTCTCTAATGTTTGTAGGCCAGTGCTATTTGATGTGGGGAAAAAAGTTGATCTTGCCATTAATTTGCTTGCTTTTGATGTTCTCCTGCAGGTGACATCTCGGAGTAGAGACAACGACCCCAATGACTATGTGGAGCAGGATGGTAAGCGGTGTTTCACTGGGAATAAGAGCTGGAGGAGGAGATGAATTTTTCTTTCAGGCTCTTTGAACTCATTCTTCCTTTACTAGCTGTGTAACCGTAAGGCAGCTGTAAAGCTGGCAGTTGAGAGACACTGGCATCACTGCATCAGTGGGGTTAGCATTTTGTCTTAATGCTACTTAAAGGTTATCCCCGGAACTAAAGTCCTGTGTCAGAGGGTGCTTCTCTCTCCTTGCGAGAGCTTAGGGACAGCAGAGGTGCAAAATGCTGTGCTGTCTGCTGTTGCCTGGAGGCCTGAGCTGTGCCTCTGGGCATATGTGCAGCTCCTTTTTACTTAGCAAGATGTTTCCCAGCTTCTCTGAGGACACAGATGAGCCCCTCTAAGAATCCAAGCAAGCCCTGGCTTCTGGTGACATCTTCCTGGGCACTAAAAATTCCTGCCTTTGCCCCAGTGTGATCCTGCACACTCATTTCTCCTCTGCAACCTTCTCAAATGGGCGTGTGCTTTTCTGCAGACATCCTCATTGTGAAGCTGCGGAAGGGCCAGGAGCTGAGACTGCGAGCCTATGCCAAGAAGGGCTTTGGCAAGGAGCATGCCAAGTGGAACCCCACAGCAGGCGTAGCATTCGAGTATGACCCAGACAACGCGCTGAGGCACACTGTATACCCCAAACCGGAGGAGTGGTATGTCCTAATGTCTGTCTGGAGGGATTGGAAAAGATTTTCCGGCAGGCACCTACATTTCAGCCCTGGGGATAATTGGGGTCAGTAAGTGATTGTGAGCATGCCTGTCACTCCCTTGCACAGACTCTGCTCCTGTGTTAGGGTACCAGGGCCAGTCACTTGGTTGCAGCTGCATGCAAGGTGGTCTGGTTTGTGGCCACCTCTTGTTGTCCCCTACACGTACTGTCACTGCTGTTTTACCTCACTTTCATGTTCTTCCCTATGACTCGTTCCTGTTTTTTCTTCCCTGCACAAGTGGCCTGTAGGTCAGGGTAAGGTCTGAGGAACAAATAAATCCATGCAAGTTAGAAGAGGTTGCTACAAGAGCAAAGAGTGGAAGGTTGGGTTGCAAGGCTGATTTTGCAGCCCTGTTTGTTTGAGGAAGACCAGTGTGTGGTTCTCATTTCACCCATACATCTCCTCACTCCTGGAGCATGAGCTCTGGCAGCAGGGTTTTCCTCTCTGGCCCTTTCCTCTGCTCTGACATATCATTCCGTACCAGTAGCACACTGCATCTCATCTAAAAGTGACATGATTTTGCTTTTGGAAAGCTGCTTTGGCCAGAGTGAGGACTTCACCTAGCAGCACTTTTCCATGAGTAGATACCTGAGCTGCTCCTGGCTCTGCATCCCAGTGACCACCTAGCAGACACCCTGTCATCGAGCACGCTGGAGCCAGCAGCAGAGTGAGGAACCAGGTGCTTTAGCCAAAGCAGGCTGAGAGCAGGGACTGGAGGGGGTGGTGGATATGCTGCCATAACGGCAGGGCAGCAGCCAGAGCTGCGCTCAAGGACAGGAAGACCTCGGTACAGGAGCAGGGTTTGGTGCAGGGACCGCAGAAGCCAGGGCTGAGCAAGCGGGAACAAAAGCCTGAGCAGAGCTGCAGCTGGAGAGGAGGCTGAGCGGCAGAAGGGGCTCAGCAGGTTTTCCTCCTGTTGCCGCCAGGCCCTGCGCTGCCAGATTTGACTCTGCAAATGGCTGCAAGCACTAGCAGGCAGGTAGTGGACTATTGTACCTCCACACTGTCTGGTCCAAGCCTGGGCGCTCAGACCTATTGCAGAGCATGACCTTACGCTGTCCCTTGCTAAGTTAGCAGCTGTCAGTAAATGAGCTTCCTGGAGGTGCGGTTAGCCTAGATTTCACACCTCAGCTGGACTGCCAGGGGCTTTCTGCTCAGGAGCTGTCATGGAGATCCTGTGTGGCTAGGTTTGCACTCGGGAGACTTGAGAAGTCTTTTGTCGCCGAGGGTGGAGATGTAGGTGAATCCATAACATGCGTGAAATGGGCTGGGATCTGCCCGCAGCCATCCCAGCCCTGTTTTACAGATGGAAGAAGCAAATCCCACTTGGCTTTGATGGGCTACGTAGGGTGCGTTCGTCAGTCTGGTTCAGTCAGTCTGGGTGAGAACGGGACATGTGAGGCATTCACCTCCCTCAGCGCTTGGTCAGGGTGGTGCTCTGGGATCTGCAGTAGGAACCAAGCTGGCTGGTAATGCTGGAAATCTGGAAATGGGCATTTTCCTTAGCGTTGATGACATGCCCATGTGGGCTGTAACTGGACTTTGGGAACTGCTAGCTCCAGACCAGGCTGTTGGGGGGAAGGTCTGTGAGAGGCCGATTGTGGTGAGGTGGTGCAGAGCCAAGGAGGATGATGCTCAGCAGTTTTGTGGTTAGTAGCATGTCACAAGAGTTAACGTGCTGGCCTGTCCTTTGTCACTGGCAGTTTTGGAAGCGGAACGGGGTAGTTTTGAAGTTTCCAAATGATTTGTTGGCAGGTAAATTGCCCCAAAGTTCAGTTGATTGTCTGGGTGATAGATTGGATGCTTGAGAAGCAAGAATGTCTCTGTGGTGTGGAATTTCAAATCAGGATTTGAAATAATTCTAGGTTTCATCTTGGTGCTGTAAAAATTCTCTGGTTTAATTTCTGTGTCACTAGATAGTAAGTCTTTGACACTGATGAAGTGACAGACCTGGCATATTGCTTTGAACTGGACAGACAGGTGCCAGGCAGGCTGAGGTATCATCGGGTTTGCCACTTTTTTGTACATGGAATGTCACAGTGTGACTTCTGGAGAGTTTGGGTTTTTGGAGATGTCGGTGTCATGGAGAACAACCCCAGCTGCGTGGCTGAGCCCATGTACCTCGGCAATGAGGCAATTCCCTGGCTGGGTGGCCAGGGAATTCTTTTGTTTGGTGGCAGAGTCAGCTGTGTCTTCAGGAACGTGGTGTGTTATACAACAGGCTGGGTACCTGGAAACAGTTTTTGAGATGTTCTTGACAAAATATATGTAAAAGTTGGAAAAATCCCAAAGGAAGATTGACATAGGAGCTGCCTGTTCCCTGATGATATGTCTGCCTTTCCAAGTTCATCTGATTCTCTGTGAAGACAATACAAAGGCCTCTGCTATCCAAGGCTAGTTATTATTTTTAGTTTGGTTTTTCATGCTAATTGCTTTTTGAGGCTGTTGGCAGAGCACTGGTACGCAGCTGGACTCTCAAAGCAGCTGTCATGGTGGTGGAAACCTCTGCCCTGTTTTCGGTCGTGGCTGGTTCTGCAAGTAACATGAAGGCCCAGCTCCATTAACACTATCTCTCTCAGTGGTTTGTTACAGATGGAGTATTTGTTTGGGAAGTGCACCTTTATTTAAGGCAGCTGATGATAGGGTGCTAGGATCAGCCTTTCTTGACATTGCTGGGGGAGAGGAAGGTCAGCAGGAGACCTTGGTGGGGACAAGATTTTCTGTGCTGGCTTCTCAGCTCAAGGCTTTGGGTTTTCGTACATGGATTAAGTGCTTCCAAACAGTCTTTGCAGCATGATGCTCTGTAAGTCAAGGGACACAACGGGTAGAAAGATGTGTTGGCCTAGCTGATGCACAGGTATTGCAGTGATTTTGGTAGCAATGTGTGTAGAGGAGTGGAGGTGCAGGACATCAGGACGGGGCTCACTGACACAGCTGGTGTCTGAAGTACAGGAGATTTTTTTTCCTGCTGAGCACAAACTGACCAGGCCTTTCCATCTCAGCTGTGCTGCACAGACCGAGTGCTGGAGTGCTGAAGTGCTGCAGTGAAGAGTAGAAAGAAAAGATAACACAAGGTCCATTGCTTCACAGTGTCCAGGCTCCATAAACACAGTCCCTTCAGGCATCGACATCCCTTCGCTGTAAGCACCTGCCAGAGTGTGCCAGTGTAGGTGGATGGAGCCACAGTACCCCGCACAGGGCTCGCTGAGTTTGGGCAGAGCAGGGCTGAGCCTCTTCCTCAGGTGCTGCTGGGTGACTGTATGGCATTAATGAGGAGCTAGAAAGGGCAATGTGGGGGACAGCTTTTTTTCTGTGACTTGATGTTCGTTTGATGACTGCTCCTTTGTCTGCTGGATGTGAGCCCCAGTTCTCACTCTCTGGGGCCAAACAGTGCCGTAGGGTGCCTGGGCTGTGTGCTAACCTTTCCTGCTCTTTGATTCCAGGCCCAAGAGTGAGTACTCAGAGATTGACGAGGAGGATGCTCAGGCTCCCTATGACCCCAATGGGAAGCCAGAGAGGTAGGAAGCTGAATGCACTGCCACAGCTGGGAAGTGGGGGGACTAGCTGGGTGCATTTCTTTGGCTTTCGTTAATACAAGAGTATCTACTCTGTGCTGAAGTTTGCCAGCCCAGGGACCTGGTGTTCCCTGAAAAGCAGGGCAGAAGTTGGAGTTAACTGGTGATATGCCCAGGCCTGGCAGCTTTTCCCCTCCAGGAGATACTAGATGGCTCTCCTGAGTTCACGTTATCAAGTACGGCAGTGCAGCACTTGGTGAAGTGTGAGGCCTGCAGGGGAAAATGGCTTAGGATATTTATTCACCCATGTGGGGCTCTCATGCTCTGATTGCTGGTGGTACCCAGGTTATTTGCACTGCAGAAGTGCCTGCAGCCAGCCTTACTCCATGGCATGGGGCTCTGTGCTGGCTCGCAAGTCACAGTGCTGAACAGAAAAAAAATCTCAGAACTGCTCTTGCAGCCTGTGGAGTCACGAGTGTTGACATGGTGGTTGTAGAGGGGCAGTGCTGGCTCTTGCCTGGTTGGGAGGTGAATGATGCTGATGGTGGGGATTCCCGGCAGATCTCCCTATGGTGGCTCCGGATGGGCTGGAACCATTCTGCGGGTGCTCTCTGGTTTTGCACCTCCTCGCAGAGCAGATGGTGACTTAACCCCCTGGCTTGTAACCTCAGGTTTTATTACAACGTGGAGTCCTGTGGTTCTCTGCGCCCAGAGACCATTGTTCTCTCCGCACTGTCCGGCCTGAAGAAGAAACTGAGTGACCTCCAGACCCAGCTAAGCCATGAGATTCAGAGCGACGTCCTCACTATAAACTGAGATGACCCCTTGCGAGAGAGTGCTCAGGTGTGAGTGAGGCAGAAGGTTCCTGGCTCTTTCCAGCAGCACTCTGGGCTGAGGCTTTTACCTCCCCATCTCCCTCTGCCTCTCCTGGCCCAGCTGTGCTGGTTGGTTACACCTCTTCCCCAGCCCCCCTTCCGAGGGAAAGCCAGCGTGATGTGTAGGGTAAAGCAGGAAGGGAATCGGTGAGCACCTTCACTGGAACAGGCTTTGTCTCTAAGTGATCCCAGAGTTTTAGGCCAGAGTTTTGGATCCTGGCCAAGTGGTGTTTGGTATTGGGAAGAGGTGTACCTCAGTTACACAACCCTACCTTATTTGCATGTCCAGTCCTTCTGTGCTGAATAAAGCTTTACCTCCTCTGTGTTTTGTCATCCCTGAAAGCTCGTCTGGGGCTGCAGGAGGAGATGTCACGTCATTTACTTCTCTCCAATAGACATTAACTTAATGAGATCTGCTTTGGAGGGAGCATAGCTCTCTACTGCTGATTGCTGCTCTTGACATAATCTCCTAAGGAGACCAGAATCCCCTCCAGCAGGTAGCCTGTCGTTTACCGATCCAGCGCTACATTTAAAGCAGATGTTTGAGGCTGGGCTGGTAAGCGAGATGCTGCAGAAGGCAGTGCTGCAGGGAAGCCCAGATGAGCCAGGCAGGCTCAGCTGTATTTAAAGACTCCTTTGGAGCAGACTTTACCCATACACTATATAATCTTTATGTTAGGCGCTGGGATGGCAGGGAGTCCATCATTAATAACCCCTGGCTGACAACTTCCAGTGTGCCTGCAGCCCCAAGGCGGGTTGTGTGCTGGGCTGGAGCTTGGTGTAGGTCCCAAACCGTGACCACCGTGGCAGTGGCTGAAGGGCTCCAGTGATTACCTGGGTCACCCTTTCTCATAGAATCATTTAGGTTGGAAAAGACCTTCAAGATCATCGAGTCCAACCATCAACCATACCCACTAAACCATGTCCTGAAGTACCCCGTGCACTCGCTTTTTGAATACCTCCAGGGATGGAGACTCAACCACTTCCCTGGGCAGCCTATTCCAATGTTTGACAACCCTCTCAATAAAAAAATTTTTCGTAATATCTAACCTAAATCTCCCTTGCCTCAACTTGAGGCCATTTCCTCTTGTCCTATCTCCAGCCACCTGACAGAAGAGACCAGCACCCACAAAAAAATTTTTTTTCTTCCCAAAATGATGTTTAAAATAGGTGCGTGCTTTTTTGTTGTCACTGATATGCATCTGAATAATATAAAATTAAGATTCTTCAATGAACTCCAAACACTGTTTTGTTCATTGCTGAAAAAAACCCCTATGCAATCCCTTCTTGCAAAAATCATACAGGCATAATGTCAGAACCTTCCAGAGTATTTTGTGTTTCCAAGATCAATGGAAAACAATCTAACTGTGCTGAAACAATCATCTGACTAGTAATGAATAAAAGAATAATCTTTTCACATTATTCTAAATTCTCCTCCCCTCTGTCAGCACCCAGCAGGACTTGGGATGAGCTTCTCGGTGACGCTTTCTTGGAGAGATCTGCCTTGTCCTGACCGTGGGGGCTGGGAGGAAGGGGAAGGCGTGTGTGCCACTGTGCTCGTCCCAGCATGGACGTGGGGCTTGGGAACGGTTTGTGGTGCTGGGATGGGTGCTCATGCTGAGTAGGAGAGAGCAGCCCACGTCAGTGCTGCCCTCCCCTCCAGGGAAGAGCTGCTGCAGCCGGGCTGCTGCTTCAGTGTCCTTGCCCTGGCACAGCCGGTTGCAGCACGGCTCCCCAAGATTTCCCTGCCCTGGCTGGCGTGGCTGGCTCACCTTGAGGCCAGTGCTCTGCTGGACAGTCACGGCACGGGTAACTGAACTGGCACAATTCTGGAAGAGCTGGGAGATGGAGCGGCTTGAAACTCCTTCGCCCAGGGACTTGGAGCCACCACTGCCCTGGCATGTCCCTGGAGCCCTGGGTGGCTGGAGGTGAGGGGTGACAGTGGGGTGCTGGCATCCTGTTTCACTTGGGGTTAGTCGATGGAGGGTGGCAACTCTCTCCGCCCTTCTACCCTCCCCAGTGGTTTTAGGGCTTCACTTGAAATATCCTGGCCATGGCTGGAGGCAGAACAAAGCTTTGAGCCAGGCACGCTGCTGGGAGCGTCAGGAAATCTCCCTGCATCAGCATTTTTCTCTCTGGCAGGCACTACTCCCACTCGCACTTCCCGACCGCATTTGGATGGAATGGACAAACAGGAAGGGTGGATAAGGATTGTTTATTCATTGAGCAAGTCCTTAAAAAAAAAGAAAACCCAAACATTTTTGGTAATAAATGTGAAATCTTTTCCAGATGAGGTGTGTAGCTGGGAAAAGAGAGCGGGTTACACCCCTCACCTGGGGGAGGATGTGCTACCGGCCGGTGCTGGGGTACCGACGAGCCCGAGCCCCTCGGCGCCTGGCCGTGCTGCAGGGAGCAGCCGTCTTCTGTCCCGCCATCCCCCCCCCCCAGCCTCAGCCACAAGCTACACCAACCCAAGACACAGTATTTACAGACCACAGGTTCCCACATCACAACACTCCCTGTCCTCAAAGCACGGACCTGGAGCTTTAAGGGCAGAAATAAAACCACTGACCACCCAACCCAGACCAAAAGAAGACTCCAAAGAAACACCAAGGTTTGCACGGCAATAAAAAGATAGCCCTTCTAAAGGAGGTCAATAAATAGGAGAACTAGAAAAAATCAATTGCTTTTGAGTTCAGCACATGAAACCCAGCTCCCCCCTCCAAGGCAAGGGCTTTCACCCAGCCGAACTGGCAGGCAAGGAGGGAGCGAGGACGATGGGAATGCATGGAGAAACGCGGCTCTCCCCTTATCGGCATGGGCTTCTCTGCCCAGGGACTTTTTAGATCCACAAAGCTGCCCCCTCAAGGGACAGATGCTACTGGCCAAAACCAGTCCCTGGGTTGCCCACCAGCAGATAAACCAGGGGCATGGCCAGGGGAAGCGGCTGTGGGTGGAGGAGTGAGGGGTGCTGGGGTGGGGGCAGCCCTGGAAAGCCGGCGGGGGCTTGGGGCTGCCAGGCCGCTCACCCCAGCCGATCCCCCAGAAGGAAAACCAGTTTCTCCTGAGACATCTCAATTCTACAGCAAGTGTTTAAATAGCTTCAAGAAGTGCAAAAAATCAGCTCAGGGGTGGTGGTGCATCATCCCCAGGAGCACCCTACTTTTCACGGGGTGGGGTGTGAGATGCTGGGACCCCGCACCATCAGCCTGGCACAGCCACATCTTCCAGCGCTGCTCTGTCCCCGCAGCAGGGTGATGCTCCAGCCTTCCCCTCTCACAAAAACCACACCACATTTCTTGATACCCCCCTGCCTCTTGACCTCCCAGCTGGATCCCAAGAGTCAAAAAACCTCTGAGCATCTCTGCCTGAGGGCTCTTCGGCAGCCACAAAGTTTGCATTCATGTGAGAAGGAAAAATCGCTTATAATACGGATATTCAATATATATTTCAAGTCAGTTGAGGCTGAGCCAGCCGTCATCTCCACTAACGTCAGGCCAGGGTGTGAGCCAGCCCCTGTTCCCCCCAGGTCTTGGCTCGGAGGATGTCCCAGCTTGGTCTTCCTGGGGACTTGGAGGGGTGGCTGCCTGCATCCTTGCCACCTCTTGGGGAAGAAAAAGGGGACCCCCACCGTGGTCCCATTCCCCGCCCCGCGCTGGCTCACGGGGACGATGTGGGCTCCCTGCTTTCAGGCTTGTCGCTTTTGGAGGACTTTGGCTTCAGCAAGATGAACCTGTTGAGGAGGTCAGTGTCCGAGCTGGCCTGGGGGCCCGTGTACGCCTCCCCTGGGGACAAAGCAGAGGGTGGGCTCGTGGAGGGGACACACATGCTCTGGGGGCTGGAGGAGCGGCGGCTCCTCAGTGGGGGACAGGGACACTCACCAGCGTAGCTGGAGGACTCGGCCATGTTCTGGGAGCCGGTGATGTGGTGCCAGTAGGCGCTGCGGGGCAGCATGGTGGTGGGGGTGCAGGGGTAGGAGAAGTGCTCGGTGCCCTTGTTCAGCAGCTGCAGTGGATGAGGGGGGGGGTGAGGGTGACACAGGGTGCCCTGACCCCCCCACCCAAGCCGTGTACCCACGGTGGGCTGGAACTCACCCTGACGTTCTTCTCCATCTCCAGCAGGACCCTCTTGTGTTGCTCGGCAATGGCCAACGTGGCACTGTGCACACGCTGGTAGATCTGCTCGCCCTCCTGGGTCTGGAAGGTGTAGAGACCTTCCCCCGCATCACACATCCTGTGGGGACGGGGCATGGGGTGTCACTGGGGTCCCCAAGCCGAGGGATGATAAAAAATACCCACCCCCCCAGGGTGGCAGCCGGCCCAGCTTCCCATGCTTTAAGTGCTGTCCCTGTGTCCCCTCCATGGTGCTGAGCTGGGACCAGCACCAGCCCCAAACCTCCCGGGCCATGGGGCACCCTATGCAGGCTGTGGCCATCACCCCAGCGTCAGGCCTGCCCCGGGGCGATGGCAGCAGTGCTGCCTCCTGCTGCGCCCAGCAGGATGAAGGCACCCAGTGATGGTCCCCGTCCCAGCGAGGGTGACATCTCACCGTCCGGCCTCGAAGGTGAAGCGAGTGGCGTCACGCCCGTAGCGGCGCAGGGAGCAGAGGGGCCAGGAGACCAGCTTCACCCGGGGGTTGTGCGTGTCCCAGAGGTAGATGTTTTCGTGGGTGATCTGCAGCTTGCACTCGCCGTAAACGTCCAGGTTGGGGCAAGGGAGGAGGAACACGTTGAACCGGTCTGGAGAGGGAAAATAAAATAAAATAAAATAAAATAATTCGGGGGGGGGCACGTAGTGAGGCCGAGCCCTGAGCGAACGCCCCGCCGCCACACGCTCACCCGTCTGCTCGCACTGCACGCCGGGCGCCAGCAGGTCAGGCTCCCCCAGGCTGATGTCGTTCAGGCGGGCGCCCAGGCACTCCACCGACAGCGTCTTGTACCACTCCTCCGCCTCCAGCTCTGCAAGGCACCACCGCAGCCCCTGGGCGACCCCGGCCAAACCGGGGTGCCCCCCCGGCACCCCAGCCCAGCTCCCCTGGGCGCTGCCCCGTACCCGAATCGCAAGTGAAGGTCCGGGCAGAGTCATCGGTGAAAACGATGGCCACAGCCTGTCTCTTGGTCTCCTTGGGCAGCCGGGTGATGCACTTGACATTGCTGATGTCAGTCACCTGCGGAGGTGACGGGGAGGGGGGGTTACTGAGGGCTGCACCCAAACCCAGACTCGCTGCACCCAGATCCTGGCTGCTGCACCCAGACCCCAGCCCTTGCGGCACCCAGACCTGGCCACCGTGGCATTAAGATCCTGGCTGCTGCACCCAGAGCTCGGTGGCACCCAGACCCCAGCTGCTGCACCGAGACCCTGGCTGCTGCACCCAAACGTGGCCCCTGCAGCACCCAGACCCTGCAGCACCCAGACACTGCTGCATCCCACTGAAGTACATGGAGCGACAGCCACCCAGCTTCAGCCCAGCAAGTTTAGGTGAGGAGGGACCCACTCTGGCATGTGGCCCCAAGCAGCACGCAGCACCCAGCACCCCTCCACTGCACCCTCTCACCTTGGGGCACCCACGCAGGCACGCCGACTTCTCATCCGGGTACTTCTCCAGGCGCTGGGGCCCTTTGCTGGAGGATTTCCGGAAGACCAGCCAGCACCGCCGGTAGATCTGCCGGACAGAGAGTGCCGGCAGCTGCTGCGGTGCAGGTGGGGGTCCCTGTCCCCATGTCCCCATCCCCTTCCTCAGGACCCCTGCCCTGTCCTGCTGACCCTCCTGGCCTGGGGACAGGAGGGGACGCTGGGGCTGGGGATAGCCCAGGGCTGCCATCATCCCCCCCACCCCCGCCAACGCTAATTAATGAGCTTAATTAACAAACATGGGTAAGGGTCCCAGAGGGACCCCCATCCCGATGTCTCCCTGTCCCCTCTCCTGCAGCCCCTGCCTCCGGGGGTGGCGGGGCCATCGTCCCCAAGCAAGTCCCCCCCCTCAAGCCCGCTCCCTCTTTGTTCTCCCTAATTAGCGTGAAATTACCCAGCATGCTCGTTACTGCTGGCTCTGAGCGATGGAGGCGGGTGACCAAACCCCCTGACCCCCCACCTATGGGTGCTGCACTCCAGCATCCCCCTAATTTGCACCCAGCAGACCCCCCACCAGCGTGGGGCATCCCTGGTGCCAAAATTGGGTGTGGAGGGAAACTGAGGCATGGGGGAGGTGTGGGGAGGGCTCAGAGACACCCCCTCAAATCCCCATGGTGACCTGTGTCCAATGAGGGGGTGCCACCCAGTGCAGGATCTGAGCCCCTGGGGCTGCTGGATGATTTGGGTACCAACAAGTGGTCTGCCCCTGCACCACCACCCCCCAGTCCCCAAAATGCTGCTTATTCAATCCAAAACCAGGGGTGCAGGTTGCCACGAGAGGCAATGTGGCCGGGGGACCCCGCCATGTCACCTCTCGCAGCAACCAGCACCCCAAATCCACGGGTGCCCCCCCACCCGCCCATTCCCTGAGACCCCCACTCACCCCCAGCTTCTTGCTCTTCATCCTCACGTAGCCTTGCTTAATGATGTCGTTAAAATTCGTCGCCATGGTGATGGCCTGATGGGGTGGGGGGATATTTTGGGAGGGGGGGGCTGCCTGCCTTCACCTTCGCCCCCCCCTCTCCATCCTCTTCCTCTGTACCCCCCTGCCTCACCACCGGCCCAGCTTGGTGCTAGCGGTGTCCCCCATCCTGGCTGGAAAAGAGAAATGACAGATCGACGGGTGACATCTTCCTCCTCCTCCTCTTCCTCCTCCCTTCGCTGCCTGAACCATCCGAGTGGAACAATCCGATGTTAACCCCTGCCAGCGCGGCAGTGCCAGGCCGGCACGCACAAGCGGTCCCCCTGCCACCAGCCCCAACATGTCTCCCAGGGGACACCCATGCTGGACCTCGCCCACAGGTCTTCATCGCCTCTTGTACTGTCCCTCCTTCCTCCCAGACTGCTCGCTTGGGCAGCAACATGGCCTCGGCTGCTGGGTATCAGTAGGGTTCAGTGTTAATGACCTCTTGCCCAGCCAGGCCAGCTCTGCCATGGGGTGCTTCGGCCCCAGCACTGGGTACCAAAGGGACCCCGGCTCCCAACCTCACCCCCCCGGCACAACCCAGCCTCCCTCCAGCCCTGCCATGAGCTCGGCCTCATTCAGCCTGGTCCCGCCACCCGGTTCCCACCAGGTTCCTTTCCCAGCTGGAAAAATCCCCTAGAGAAGGCAGTAACCTAGGAAACGGGATGGGGCCATCCCCAGGGATGCTCTGGAGCCAGACTGCTCCATTCCGGTGACGCCCTGGTCCCCAAAGCCCCAGCACCCAGGGGGATCCAGCCCCATCCATCCCACCAGGGACGGACCACAGGGGCCATCCCGCAGCGACTACGCCCCAGTGTCCCCCCCCAGCCACCACAACCACTGCCACAGCCTGTCTGGGTACCACCGGGATGGCTTGTGTCCCCCGTCCCCCCCTCAGGAGCCAGGCTGACCCTGCTGCCTGGGACCCCAGGTGCTGCTCTGTGGTGGCCCGTGGCCCATCGGGACCAGGGAGTGGGGATGATGGGGGCTGGGGACAGCACCCTAGGGACCCCCCGCTGTCCCCAGAGGGACTGGAGCCCGCGCTCGCCTGAGGGGAACATCCCCCTGCATCACCCCCACCCCACGCACATCAGCACCCGAAGGGAATTCAGAGATGCTGGGGGGACACCTCCTGCCCCCCGCCCCGACCCAACCCACCCCCTGATCTGTCACGTCGGTCACCCCCAAGCCCCCGCACTCCTCACCCCTCCATCCCCCCCAGGTCTCCGCCGCTCTCACCGGCATCCTCCCTCCCCGCGCTGTCACCCCCCGGCCGGGCCCCCCCGACGCTTGTCACCTCGGCCAAGCCCCGTCCCGCGTCACCTCCCCCCGC